TTTTTTATGATTTTCGCTTCAGTTTCAGTTTGTTTGTGTTTTCCAGCAGGATGAAAGGAAACAAAGAGAAGAACTTCTTTCCTGCGCTTCAGTTTTGTGTCGTGTGTTGGTAGAGAAACATGACTCCATTGTTTTGCAGGTCCAACATGACTGGAACTCATCTTTTTAAAAAGAGGAAATATGAATGGTGGTGTGTGATGGTGAGTGTGTGTGTGTGTGTGTGTGTGTGTGTGTCTCCGCTGATTGAAGACATTGTGTTTCAAACCCTCTGGAAGTCTCAGTACTCGGTTCATGTGACTAGCTGTCGCTCTGAAGAGTTCGTCGTACACGTTTTCTGTCAGAGGTTCTCAGCTGCGAAGCCTTTTTTACACGACATGTGCCTGTTTGCTGGAGTAAAATAAATAAAAAGAGATTTGTTTTCATATATATATCATATATATTCCCTCCTATACTGACCTCAGATCTCTAAAAAGAGTCTATTCTGAAATCAAGTCAACCCGATTAAAAGCACAAGGCGTTGGCTGAGAATCTCTGACACTAATCCGTCCTGAGGTTTTCTTTTCTTTCTTTTGTGAATATTGTTAATAGAATATTTTGTAATATTTGACCATCGTTTGGCAGAACCAGTGAAGCCGTCTTCTTGTTCTCTCTCTCTCTTCCTCCCTCAGTCTGTCTCTCTCTCTCTGTTGTTGTTATCCTGTTGTGTCCCTCCCTCTGTGTGAACAATAGTATGCTTTCAGTAGTCTTTTTAGCTGTCGACGTCCCCCCTATCCCCCCCACCCAAAAAATAACTCAGCGGGCATTTTTTTTACAAAGTTGTTGAGTATATGTGTACTTCTATGTGATTAGGAAACTTGGTGTTTGTACTTTTCGTCCTCCTCGGTGTTTCAAAAGGACTTTTGTTTTGAAGTTAAAGCAGGATGAGCCGTCCACATGCTAGTCCTCCTCACCATCGACTCCCATCACAGTTCACCTTTGTGACGACGGTGACCTTTTCTAGCGACGACGCCTCCCTGTTGGCCTTCTTATCTGTATTTCTTCTTAACAGACAGCTCGGCTCCTCCAGCAGCTTCTTCTGCGTCCCGCTTACTTTAAATAAGATGTAGATCAAGAGCACACACACACGGTCGGGGCTACAGAAGAGTTCATGCATCAGACAGGAGCATATTTCAAAAAGCAATACTGGAATCTGACTAATGTTATGTCTGCCCACGTTTCTTTCTTCTTGTCCTTGTAGAAATAGGCCGTTGAACTATAGCAGCAAATTGCTTTTTTTTTAAGTATTTAATTACCTAAATATGGAGACATCTGAAAGGCTGTTCTACACATGCATCTGTACTAAAACATGATCATATCAGCCAGTATTGGTGGAGAAATACAGCATATACTAGGTAGGTACCATATCAGTGCATCACGAGCCTCCTCTGTTGAGCTTTAGTTCCCTCTGATCCCGTCGTTCGTGAGGTTGAAGACATTGACTTCATATTCTAGCATCAAGCGACATTTAGGATCGAGTACAACTCTACAACGAAGGTTTGACACATTCAGGAAGAAGTGAGGCTCCGTGTGTGTATTTCATTCCTTTGCTCGGACAGTGATTTAAAGCGTGACTTATTTACCGCTTCCCTGTCTCGACAGGTTGTTTTGTGTCCGCTGCACTTTCAACCGACACAGTTTGAATAATTATTATTTTTATTATGTGAGCCGCTCAAAGCATTTCTTTCTATTACTTTACCAACAGAAACAAGAGGTCTGTGGTTGTGTTCGTCTCTCTGTTATGTACTCTCCTTTTTGCTCATGGTCAGTCCCCCCCCCTCACCCTTTGCTTTGCCCTCCTATGCCACCTGTCGTTGTTCAGACTACCGCTGTGCGTAACTTGTCAGGTGTTTGATATTATTTATGACCTTCGTCTTGTGTCCCCGACTGTGAAAACGCCTGATAAAAAAACATCTATATCTGCCACAAATAGAGCATCTGTGGTTTCTTCTTCTTCTTCTTCTTCTTGTGTGTGTGAACAGGCTCGCGTGCATTTTTCAGCTTCTCCTTTTCCCCAGAAAGTGCAGCTTACATGTGAGCTAAACGTCCGGGGCCCTTCAGGCCCTCTGTTTCAGGGGACACCTCTGCACGGAGGAGAGGATCTTGCGGAGTTCAGAGCGAAACTGTCTGGTGACCAAAGTGTAGATGAGCGGGTCCACTGCAGCCTGCACACAGGTCAGAACCAGAGCCGACGTCTCCAGCTCCATCAGCAACTACGGAGGAAGAAGCTGATTATTATGAATGGTTAATCTGTTTATTGTTCTGTATCATTTGGTTAATCCATTCATTATTGAATCTAAAATGGTGAAACGTGTCCTTTATAGATACAGAGTTGAAGTCTTTATATTGCTTGTTTTGTCAAACCAACTGTCCAAAACCCAAAACTGGTTCAGTTTGGTTATTTGATAGTTTAGTTAATTGTCAAAACTATTTGTGATTCATTGATTACTCAGCTATGATGCATTATGGAACTTTACACTGTGCAATAACCATGCAATGAGACTTCAAATGTGTGTTTTGTGGTTCCGTTTTATTTGGAGGAGAAAAGTTATTAGAAACCTCATAACTTAAGTTTTTACTGCAGGACTGTCGGATTGCATTACATTGAACTGATATGTAGTATTGCATCCACTCACTTTGTCCGCGTCCTGCCACGAGACGATGTTCATCAGCAAAATCACCACCAGAGGCACCCAGAAGAGCGTGAACGCGATGATGATGTACCCGAAGCGCTGCGCCAGTTTCCCTTCCACCTGTTTCTTGCCCCGCTCCCGGGCTCCGGGCGTCAGCAGACACACCGCCCCGACGATCTGCGGACGTCTGCTCAGCGGGGGGGCGCCTCCTGTGAACAAGCCGCCACGGGGAGCGCCGGCCTCGGCCACCAAGAGCACCGGCGGAGCTGTCCGCGGTGCTGAAGAGGGGACGCTCAGCCACCCGAACACGTGCTCCGACACCCTCGGCCTCAGCTGGACCCCCCGACTGAACACCTTCTTTCGGTGCCGCCTCACGACTTTGAATATCCGCACGTAGTGGACCACGATGACGGTCAGAGACAGCCCCCACAGCGGGACCAGTACGTAGGGTCCGAACGGATCCGAGTACGGAAGGCGATGTTCTCCGTGCGCCCCGAGGTGCGGACGGCACAGCATGTAGAAGAGCGCCTTCTCGGAGAGACTCAGAGAGACCAGAGCCAGCGCGGCGCCGCACGCCCAGATGGACAGGATCCAGAGCCGGACCCGCGCTCTCCTCCTCTCGGTCTGGAAAGGGAACGCGATGGCCTGGAAACGCTCCACGCTGATGCTGACCAGCGTGAGCAGCTGCACGCAGCTGCACAGCGCGTAGGTGAACTGCTGCAGGGTGCACACGGACACCGGCACGCGGCCGCCCCTCCCGTAGCGCAGGAAGGAGGAGAGCAACAGCGGCGTGTCCACGGAGCACTTGAGGAGGTCGCTGGCGGCCAAGCTGACCAGCAGCGCGTTGTTGAAGGTCTGCAGGCTCTTGGTCCTGAAGACGACCCAGCAGACCCACAAGTTCCCGGGTGAGCCCAACACCAGCGTCAGGGTTAGGACCGCGCAATTGAATATGAAGAACATGGTGACCACGCGAGTCTCGTGGAGCGCGGTTGTTTCGTTCCAAACAGCGCGCACCTCCATGATGTTAAACATGTCCTCCGTCCTGCATCACAGTGGCTTACATTGACAAAGGATGGTGTGCGCTGAAGATGTCTGCTGGTTTTAAAAGTATTTGATTCACGTGTGTTCAGCACCGATTGGCTGAAGGGTCGCTGTTGATTAGTCTGTAATCATGTGGAGATGTTCCGACCTTCTGATGACCTGCTGAGGAGGTTACACAGTGAACTGAAAACCTTCCAGCCTCTTCTTCTAACATCAGCTGTGCATCATGGGTAGTGATGTGGACTGATGTTTTCTATGCACCAATGCTTTTTATTTATGTTGTTTTACAAAACATAAAGTTACTGTGAGGAACTTTTATCTGGTTCTGAACCAGTCTCAGTTTAAGTAGAGACTCCATATACGTCTCTGGTAGAGAACTGTCAATCACTGTGTAGCCCCGCCCTAAAGCATCCCCTGCTTTATGGTCTGTGTGACTCTAAATGGACCATAATTTACTACATGAACATCATGCTGTATTGAAGAAGACTTGAAACTAGAGATTGAGACCATAAACTCATGTTTACAATGTTTACTGAGGTAATAAATCAAGAGAGAAGTAGAGTCATTTTCTCATAGACTTCTATACAACCAGAGGAGTCGCCCCCTGCTGGACACTAGAGAGATAGATTTAGAAAGAACAATATGTTTTGTGAATGTGTGGAGACATAACAAAAGAAAATCCAAGCTCCATACTGGTCATTTATTTAGAAAAGACACATTGTATGAATTCATTGAAAAAAGAAAAGAAAAAAACACTCAAAAAAGTGCCATGTGTGAGAGCGGAGGTGCAAACCGTCCTTTCTTGCAGAGAGACATTCAGACTCATCTTCTCACCCGATGAACAGACGGTCAGCGCTTCAGCAGCTCCTCCACGTAGACGGCGTTCATACGATACGCTGCCATCCAGCTCTGAGCGGCGCTGTAGTAGCTCTGGTGACCTCGCTCCTGGAGAGGAGATACGGAGGTGTAGTAGTCGTTCCAGGCTCTGTAGCTGGCTCTCCAGTAAGCTTCAGCGCTCCACTCTTCTTCTTCCTCCTCCTCCTCTTCATCATCATGTGTGCTTTCCTCCCTTTCCCTCTTCTGCTCTGAACTCTTCTTGCTCCGTCTCTCAGTCTTCTCTTGAATCTTTCTGGATTCGTGTCTGCTAGTCTTCGGCTCGCTCGGTCTGGATTCGCGTCTCTCGGGCGGAGGCGACGCTCTGACTCTCGAAGCGCAGGATGTCTGGCGATATATTTCGGGCGTAGCAGCAGCTCTGGATGTATCGGCGTCTGCCTTCGGTTTGGACGCGGTGGGTGTTGGTCCGGCTTCGGTCTTGAGCACTCCGTAGTCGCCTCCTCTGGTCCGATTCGTCTCGTCGTCGTCGTCCGGTTGCGAGCTCGAAGAACCAGAAACCGACCTCAGAGGCGAAAAGTCAGATTTCCTCCGACCTCTCTTTAGTTTTAAACTTTCACCTCCGTCAGCGTCGTCGAGCATGAAGGACTCTGTATACCCGCTCTGGTCCCCGACCCCTCCACCTCCAAACTCCCTGATGACCTCCACCGATCTCCCCGGCCCCGCCGTGATGAAGCCGTGGAAGTCCCGCTCGGCCTCCTCGAAGGCCACAAACCTCGACCTGCGGCTCTTGAAGGAGCTGAGAGGAGGGATCTTCGGCAGAGCGTCCTGCAGCTCTTTGCGAGTCGCCTCCACTGCCGCCGGAGGAGGACGAAGAAGAGGAGGAGCAGGACGCTGCTGCTGCTGGAGAGCGTCCTCATCGGGAGACGTTTTCCTGGGTTTCCCTCCGTCGTGCGCTCCCGGTCGGGCTGTAGGAATGTTCTTGTCGGGCTTCCTTTGACCGCTGTGCTCCATAGTTTGATCCGCGTCACGATGCTGCTGCTTCTTCTTCTGCGTCCGGGAGGAGAGCGGAGCTGAAGCGCCTGGAGCGGACGCCTCGGTGCAGACGTCCCAGTCACACGACTCGTCCATCAACCCCGGCTCTATGACGGCTAAAACAGGACCACAAATCACATTAAAGTAAAGTTCCCCACGCTCCGTGTGAAACTCCTCGTGTGTACAGGACTCACATGGCAACGTGGACAAACTCAGGCCGCACTTCTGAGCGATGGCCATCATCTTGTTCTCCTCCTCACCATGGCAACAGTAGGTCACAGCCAGCCCCTGAGTGCCTGAAAACAAAATGTAATCCTGATGAGAACCCACTCCAAATAATAGCAGGCGATGAAGGAGGGTGTGTGTTCAGGGATGGCAGGCACACGCAGGCACACACACACGCACACGCACACACACACAGGAACACATTGACCTTGCTGGGTGGGACACACTCGCTAAAATGGTGTTTAATGCCGTCAGGAAACAAAGAGCAACAGATGAAACATAATACGACGCAGAGAGAACCTGATACGTACGATGGCGTTTTAGGGCCGTTGTAGGTAAAATAAAATATATTAATAATTATGAAGCCGGAGGAGGAATAACATTCAGAGAAAACAGGATCAGATATTCAAGAATAACGTGTTTGGGGACAAACCGAAGCGTCCGGCCCGTCCAATCCGGTGCATGTAGGTCTCCCAGTCCTTCGGCACGTCCAGGTTTATCACCAAGTTCACTTTCTCTGCATCGATACCTCTGGAGGTCTGACAGGACGAGGAGGAGGATTAAAGAAGCTGTTTAACACACGCACACACACACACACACACACACACACACACACAAGATATACACGTGTGTCTCACCAGGTCAGTGGAGATCAGCACCCTGCACTGGTACTGCTTCAGTTTGGACATGGCCTCCAGTCTCTGGTCCTGACTCAGACCGCCTGCACACAGTCGCATTAAATCAGATCAAACGGACACAAAAGTTACATTCACGAAAAGTCTTCATCACTTTTTTAATAACGAATCCTTCAAGATTCTTTGCAATCAAGTAGCCAAACTACAAGAACACAAAAGACAGCGGTGCAGAGGAGCCGCTGTGTAGGATGTAGTGGCACCAGAAATTGCCAAAGGAGAACAGAGTTGCTGAGCTCGTGTTAGGAAGTTAAACAGCTCATAATTCCTCTCTAATATCTATTTTACATTAACATGAAAACATCTCCTTCAAACTACTGGATTTATTCAAGTTTATCACTAAAACTACATTTTACAGATGGCATGTGAACACATCATGATAACATTATAATGTACCTTCAGCCAGTACTCATGTTCACTGAGCAGAGCCTGAAGGCATCATAATGTAACTGAAGTGAACCTCCGTTGGTTAGCCGTTAGCGGTGCTGCTAACGTTACTAGCTCTCCTCCT